TGGCATCATGTAGATTTACTCTATACTTCCTACGCGTTTGATAGAGGTTTCAAAGAACATGGTCAAAATGCGAAATCGAATCGTGATTAGGTAGGTTCAATTTAAGGATTATTTATGTTTTGTGTCAAAAGTTGTTTACACCATTTTTTAAGCAAATTCTGACAAATGACAATGAAACCCCTACATCCGAATATGTATTAAAATCTATGACCGAAGTTCGCTGTAAAGGTAGAATCAAGGTCGAATGTTTGAGGATTATTGAGGGTAACATCATGGTCTGACCTTTGGTAACTTTTAACAAGGATTTCAATAGTGACCTTGGATTTGACCTCGATTTTCACCCTCAAGGTCATAATAGTCAGTTAAAAAAGTTGACCTTGAAACTACTGAAACTGGTCTTCAAGGTCCAATCCAAGGCCCCCATTGATTCCCTTGTTAAGTTACAGAAGACGAATTTCTTACACACATTTGATCTTCACTTGACCTTGGTCTTAGATTGTTGCATATTGGAAAAACAATTTCCAATGTACGTTTTCAGAGGACTTTTGGCGTTTTTGGAACGATGGACAAGGGTGACGTGCCTCGTACATTAAAAAACGATAGATAACATCGGGATTGCTTGTCGTTTTAGAGGTCTGAAATTGCAATGATGGCTTCGCGAAACATCAGTATGTTACATGAGCGTTAAGAATATTGTAGAAACACATTGTATACGCATGTGAAAAAAAAACAAATGGCATCATGTAGATTTACTCTATACTTCCTACGCGTTTGATAGAGGTTTCAAAGAAAATGGTCAAAATGCGAAATCGAATCGTGATTAGGTAGGTTCAATTCAAGGATTATTTATGTTTTGTGTCAAAAGTTGTTTACACCATTTTTTAAGCAAATTCTGACAAATGACAATGAAAACCCTACATCCGAATATGTATTAAAATCTATGACCGAAGTTCGCTGTAAAGGTAAAATCAAGGTCGAATGTTTGAGGATTATTGAGGGTAACATCATGGTCTGACCTTTGTTAATTTTTAACAAGGATTTCAATAGTGACCTTGGATTTGACCTCGATTTTCACCGTCAAGGTCATAATAGTCAGTTAAAAAAGTTGACCTTGAAACTACTGAAACTAGTCTTCAAGGTTCAATCCAAGGTCCCCATTGATTCCCTTGTTAAGTTACAGAAGACGGATTTCTTACACACATTTGATCTTCACTTGACCTTGGTCTTAGATTGTTGCATATTGGAAAAACAATTTCCAATGTACGTTTTCAGAGGACTTTTGGCGTTTTTGGAACGATGGACAAGGGTGACGTGTCTCGTACATTAAAAAACGATAGATAACATCGGGCTTGCTTGTCGTTTTAGAGGTCTGAAATTGCAATGATGGCTTCGCGAAAAATCAGCATGTTACGTGAGCGTTAAGAATATTGTAGAAACACATTGTATACGCATGTGAAAAAAGAAACCAATGGCATCATGTAGATTTACTCTATACTTCCTACGCGTTTGATAGAGGTTTCAAAGAAAATGGTCAAAATCCGAAATCGAATCGTGATTAGGTAGGTGCAATTTAAGGATTATTTATGTTTTGTGTCAAAAGTTGTTTACACCATTTTTTAAGCAAATTCTAACAAATGAGAATGAAAACCCTACATCCGAATATGTATTAAAATCTATGACCGAAGTTCGCTGTAAAGGTAAAATCAAGGTCGAATGTTTGAGGATTATTGAGGGAAACATCATGATCTGACCTTGGGTAACTTTTAACAAGGATTTCAATAGTGACCTTGGATTTGACCTCGATTTTCACCCTCAAGGTCATAATAGTCAGTTAAAAACGTTGACGTTGAAACTACTGAAACTGGTCTTCAAGGTTCAATCCAAGGTCCCCATTGATTCCCTTGTTAAGTTACAGAAGACGAATTTCTTACACACATTTGATCTTCACTTGACCTTGGTCTTAGATTGTTGCATATTGGAAAAACAATTTCCAATGTACGTTTTCAGAGGACCTTTGGCGTTTTTGGAACGATGGACAAGGGTGACGTGTCTCGTACATTAAAAAAAACGATAGATAACATCGGGCTTGCTTGTCGTTTTAGAGGTCTGAAATTGAAATGATGACTTCGCGAAACATCAGCATGTTACGTGAGCGTTAAGAATATTGTAGAAACACATTGTATACGCATGTGAAAAAAAAACAAATGGCATCATGTAGATTTACTCTATACTTCCTACGCGTTTGATAGAGGTTTCAAAGAAAATGGTCAAAATGCGAAATCGAATCGTGATTAGGTAGGTTCAATTCAAGGATTATTTATGTTTTGTGTCAAAAGTTGTTTACACCATTTTTTAAGCAAATTCTGACAAATGACAATGAAAACCCTACATCCGAATATGTATTAAAATCTATGACCGAAGTTCGCTGTAAAGGTAAAATCAAGGTCGAATGTTTGAGGATTATTGAGGGAAACATCATGATCTGACCTTGGGTAACTTTTAACAAGGATTTCAATAGTGACCTTGGATTTGACCTCGATTTTCACCGTCAAGGTCATAATAGTCAGTTAAAAAAGTTGACCTTGAAACTACTGAAACTAGTCTTCAAGGTTCAATCCAAGGTCCCCATTGATTCCCTTGTTAAGTTACAGAAGACGGATTTCTTACACACATTTGATCTTCACTTGACCTTGGTCTTAGATTGTTGCATATTGGAAAAACAATTTCCAATGTACGTTTTCAGAGGACTTTTGGCGTTTTTGGAACGATGGACAAGGGTGACGTGTCTCGTACATTAAAAAACGATAGATAACATCGGGCTTGCTTATCGTTTTAGAGGTCTGAAATTGCAATGATGACTTCGCGAAAAATCAGCATGTTACGTGAGCGTTAAGAATATTGTAGAAACACATTGTATACGCATGTGAAAAAAGAAACCAATGGCATCATGTAGATTTACTCTATACTTCCTACGCGTTTGATAGAGGTTTCAAAGAAAATGGTCAAAATCCGAAATCGAATCGTGATTAGGTAGGTGCAATTTAAGGATTATTTATGTTTTGTGTCAAAAGTTGTTTACACCATTTTTTAAGCAAATTCTAACAAATGAGAATGAAAACCCTACATCCGAATATGTATTAAAATCTATGACCGAAGTTCGCTGTAAAGGTAAAATCAAGGTCGAATGTTTGAGGATTATTGAGGGAAACATCATGATCTGACCTTGGGTAACTTTTAACAAGGATTTCAATAGTGACCTTGGATTTGACCTCGATTTTCACCCTCAAGGTCATAATAGTCAGTTAAAAACGTTGACGTTGAAACTACTGAAACTGGTCTTCAAGGTTCAATCCAAGGTCCCCATTGATTCCCTTGTTAAGATACAGAAGACGAATTTCTTACACACATTTGATCTTCACTTGACCTTGGTCTTAGATTTTTGCATATTGGAAAAACAAGTGGATTTCCAATGCTGCATTGTACGTTTTCAGAGGACCTTTGGCGTTTTTGGAACGATGGACAAGGGTGACGTGTCTCGTACATTAAAAAACGATAGATAACATCGGGCTTGCTTATCGTTTTAGAGGTCTGAAATTGCAATGATGACTTCGCGAAAAATCAGCATGTTACGTGAGCGTTAAGAATATTGTAGAATCACATTGTATACGCATGTGAAAAAAGAAACCAATGGCATCATGTAGATTTACTCTATACTTCCTACGCGTTTGATAGAGGTTTCAAAGAAAATGGTCAAAATGTGAAATCGAATCGTGATTAAGTAGGTTCAATTTAAGGATTATGTTTTGTGTCAAAAGTTGTTTACACCATTTTTTAAGCAAATTCTAAAAAATGAGAATGAAAACCCTACATCCAAATATGTATTAAAATCTATGACCGAAGTTCGCTGTAATGGTAGAATCAAGGTCGAATGTTTGAGGATTATTGAGGGTAACATCATGGTCTGACCTTCGGTAACTTTTAACAAGGATTTCAATAGTGACCTTGGATTTGACCTCGATTTTCACCGTCAAGGTCATAGTAGTCAGTTAAAAAAGTTGACGTTGAAACTACTGAAACTGGTCTTCAAGGTTCAATCCAAGGTCGCCATTGATTCTCTTGTTACAGAAGACGAATTTCTTACTCACATTTGACCTTCACTTGACCTTGGTCTTAGATTTATGCATATTGGAAAAACAAGTGGATTTCCAATGCTGCATTGTACGTTTTCAGGGGACTTTTAGCGTATTTGGGACGATGGACAAGGCCATTTCAGAAACTTGAAAATATTTTCCAGGTTTTACTCTTGGCCTTTTTAGTCATAACAGTTCCTCGCATTCTTAGTTGACCACCCTGTACAATATTTGTAAGTCGATGGTCTGAACCATTTTTACCGTAAATCGTAAATACGGAGCAAAGCAACCTTTGTAAATGACACGAAGCACGGGCAGCGCTTTGTGGCGGCGATGGTAGGTGGTGTCATGTGACGTCATCTCTCACTCTCACGCTCCAACAAGATAATTCTCCACATTATCAGCCATGTGTCGTCTACTTAACTTTGAACAGCAGTGTTAGAGGCAAGCATGTAAAATGTATAAACTAAACACAGTATCGGTCCCAACACGGAGCCTTGAGGTACGCCGTGATTCAAAAAAAAACTTGAACGACTTCGATAAGTAGTGTTGTCTCGCGTAAATTAAGATATAATTTGGTAAAAGAATGAAACTGTGCTCAGTCATCACCACCCGATAAAACGCGGCACTGCGTGTGAAATTTTGTCACTAATTCGGGTTGTGGGCCGCTGAATTCCTACACTAGAGCGCCGGAAACAGCACCAAATCACCTTCAGTTCTCTCTATTTTCTACCATAGAATTATCAGACCAATAGTTTTTTAAAATTATCATTCTGAATAAGAAAAACGTTGTAATAATTTACTTTATCAAGATATAGTTAATTATTAGTCGACCATAAAAATAACCTGTAACAGTAGGACTCGGGGACGTCATGCAAGCTCGGAAAGCGCCTCAGTTAGTCGATTTAAAAATGTACTCACCATCTCCTGCCTGAGTATAGCCAACTTCGCATCCAATGTGGCCTGACCGTTCTTCCTACCGCCAGACTCCGACGCAACCCCGTTGGTTTTGGCGTAGGACGACACCGAGGTGGAACGCAGTGGCGTAGTCGGGGTGCCACGCTGAAGATGTTGGGGGTGATCCGGGAGGTTGAAGCCGCTCAGGCTCTTGGGTAGTGGCGGTAGACCGTGGAGGGACGACATCGAGCTCATTCTGGAACAAGCGAACAAATAGGTAGATTCTTCTACAGTTCTGGGTGATTTTTCGAGGAAAGATCTAACTGATATTTTCCAACCTAACCATGACTTAAAATTACTCAAAGAACCGTCTTTTAAATTTATGTATATAATAAAATACCCATTAGTTCAACAGCTAATAACCGAAACCTGTATGTTATGTTAATCTCGTTCTTTTAAAATTATTGAATAAGTATAGAAAAGTAGGGTATTCCATTTATTAAAAATCTACTTTGATATGTGAGTCAAAATTGGTATCATACATATTAGTCCTTAAACAGTTTTCTTTTAAAGCTTTTTATTTAGGAACCACACTTAGTCCTCGCACGGTTGGGACACCCTGTATTTATGGCGACGCTGGCTTCGTGACACCTGACTGACAAGAGATTCGAGCTGTAAGTCGACCTTCTATCCACCAATTTCACGTAAAAGTTTCAAAATGGCGGTTGGAAATGGAAAAATGAGGGGAATTACGTAAAGTTCCTTCTTCGTACCTTACTACAATAAATTTACTGTATTCCAAACCGGCAACAACTAGCCATAGACGTTATGGTATATCTTCTTCTTTTAGAATGATCTGTGTAAATGTAAAATTAATAATAATAAATATTACTAATAACAATGACCGACTTTATATAAAACAAAATGACAATGTTCTTCAAATACAAAAAAATATACATGAGGACGGAACAAATAGAAAGAATCTGAATATTTGTGTATGGTTTCCTCTCAAGGAAAACGAATGTTTCATTGAATTATGACAAATACGTTAATTGCAAAGATAAATATTATCAGTAATTATATATTCTACCTGAAGATAGCAAACAACGTTGAGTATTTCGGCGTCCAAAAATTATCCAACATAAAATGAGGTACCGTTGCATACTAAAGGGTTGTCCAATAGGGACCCAGGAAAGTAAACGTCAATTTGACATAGACGCCATCTTTGTTTTCTGTCACCGACATGTCATTTTGTTAGTTGAATGTTTACCATTGATCGCTATGGAGTCGTATTCGATTGAAGACCGCATTAAAGTTATTCAAGAGCACTACAAAAATGGTGCAAAAATAAAAAAACACGTTTCGCGCGCTTCGTGAACATTTCGGTCGCAACAACCGCCCAAACGAAACAACCATCGGTCGTCTGGTGCGTAAATTCGAGGCAACAGGTTCTGTGGCAAATCTGCCAGGCTCTGGCCGGCCAAGGAGCGTTCGCACACCGGAAAATATTGATGTTGTGAAGGAGAGTGTGAGAAACGATCCGAAACAATCAACAACGCGTCGATCCCAAGAATTGGGCATTTCGAGAACCAGTTTGCTCCGCATTCTCCACAAGGATTTGAATGTACACGCCTACAAGATCCAATTGACGCAAGAGCTGCGTCGGGCCGACCATTTTTCGCGCCGAACGTTCTCAGATTGGCTCCTTGAACACCGCCAAATTGATGCCAATTTTTCATCAAAAACCATGTTCAGCGACGAAGCGCATTTCACTTTGAATGGGACGGTAAACAAGAAAAACTGCCGCATCTGGGCGAACGAAAATCCCCGTGAGTATCAAGAGCAACCGATGCATCCTCAAAAAGTGACTGTGTGGTGTGCATTGTGGTCAAAAGGCATCATCGGACCTTACTTTTTCGAAAATGCGGCCGGGGACGCCGTTACCGTCAATTCTGAACGATATCACGTGATGATAGAGGACTATTTTTTGCCGCAACTTGAAGGAATGGATATGGACGACGTTTATTTCCAACAAGACGGTGCAACATGCCACACAACCATCGTCAATATCCATCGATTGCAGTCCTTCTTCGGTGATCGCGTGTTTTCGCGCAGAGGAAATGTGCCATGGCCACCAAGATCGTGCGATTTGACTCCCTTGGACTTCTTTTTATGGGGATATTTGAAAAGCAAAGTCTACGTCAACAAACCAGCCACCCTCCAAGAACTCAAAAACAACATCATTGCCGAGATAAATGCCATAGAACCGATCATGTTGCAAAATGTCATTGAAAATTTCGACCATCGCGTGGCCGTCTGTAAATCCAGTCGTGGTGAAGATTTGAGCGATATTTTTCATACATAAATGGTATAAATGAACCTTCAAAATATATATGAGAATTTGTCGCAGCAATGTTTCTCCTCTTTGAAATATTAATCATGAATCTACTTTGAGAGTACAGCGTGGCTACAGCGCCATTGGGAATCTATCCAGTGGCGGTGGAGTATAATACCAAAAACAAAAAAAATGAAATCACTCAAACTTCGTTATTTGATGTTTAGATCATTTTTGAAAAAATCCAGGATGAAAAAATTGCGAGGGGGAGGGTTGAAAGTTGTGGAAGAGGAAAATGTTTGATGTAAATATGGGGTTGTCCAAAACGGAGGCAGGAAAGTAAACGCATATTAAAACAAGAAAGATTGATATTCAAATCAAGTTGGGTACTTTATTTTGAAGGTTCATTTATACCATTTATGTATGAAAAATAATATCGCTCAAATGTTCACCACCACTGGATTTACAGACGTCCACGCGATGGTCGAAATTTTCAATGACATTTTGCAACATGGTCGGTTCTATGGCATTTATCTCGGCAATGATGTTGTTTTTGAGTTCTTGGAGGGTGGCTGGTTTGTTGACGTAGACTTTGCTTTTCAAATATCCCCATAAAAAGAAGTCCAAGGGAGTCAAATCAGACGATCTTGGTGGCATGGCACATTTCCTCTGCGCGAAATCACGCGATCACCGAAGAAGGACTGCAATCGATGGATATTGACGTTGGTTGTGTGGCATGTTGCACCGTCTTGTTGGAAATAAACATCGTCCATATCCATTCCTTCAAGTTGCGGCAAAAAATAGTCCTCTATCATCACGTGATATCGCTCAGAATTGACGGTAACGGCGTCCCCGGCCGCATTTTCGAAAAAGTAAGGTCCGATGATGCCTTTTGACCACGATGCACACCACACAGTCACTTTTTGAGGATGCATCGGCTGCTCTTGATACTCACGGGGATTTTCGTTCGCCCAGATGCGGCAGTTTTGCTTGTTTACCGTCCCATTCAAAGTGAAATGCGCTTCGTCGCTCAACATGATTTTTGATGAAAAATTTTCATCAATTTGGCGGTGTTCAAGGAGCCAATCTGAGAACGTTCGGCGCGAAAAATGGTCGGCCCGACGCAGCTCTTGCGTCAATTGGATCTTGTAGGCGTGTACATTCAAATCCTTGTGTAGAATGCGGAGCAAACTACTTTTCGAAATGCCCAGTTCTTGGGATCGACGCGTTGTTGATTGTTTCGGATCGTCTCTCACACTCTCCTTCACAACAGCAATATTTTCCGGTGTGCGAACGCTCCTTGGCCGGCCAGAGCCTGGCAGATTTGCCACAGAACCTGTTGCCTCGAATTTACGCACCAGACGACCGATGGTTGTTTCGTTTGGGCGGTTGTTGCGACCGAAATGTTCACGAAGCGCGCGAAACGTGTTTTTTATTTTTGCACTTGAATAACTTTAATGCGGTCTTCAATAGAATACGACTCCATAGCGATCAATGGTAAACATTCAACTAACAAAATGACATGTCGGTGACAGAAAACAAAGATGGCGTCTATGTCAAATTGACGTTTACTTTCCTGCGTCCCTATTGGACAACTCTATATACATAATACATCAAGATTTCCCCGTACATTTGCAATTAAAACAGAAATATATTTTCAGAACACGCGTACCTATCGGTCGCACATGCGCGCCAAGGGGTTGTAAATATCGCATCTTTCGTAGTGGATTCGGAGGTCTCATATAGGCAAGCAGCAGACGGCTTGGTGACGGGATGTGCACAAGCGAGGTGGGCGCGATATTATCATATAGATTTTTTTTATATTCCGACTGCCACGAAGTTCTAAGGCCTAAACACTCATGGGGTACCGTGGGGCTATAGGGGGATACAAGGGAAAGGGGGAACGCCACAAAGACTCTGGCGAGAGAACACGTGTGCATGCAACATGCACACATTCTGGCCCCGCCTAAGAGATCCGCCGGGTGGTACCTCCTACGGACAATCACAACATCCACAGCCAAGAAAAAAATTTCTCTTGGGACTACTGCGGACACCGCTGCTGCCTGTAATTTCTACTACTAGTGTATTTTCATGAGGCTTCTTGATTTCGTGAGGTAATATATGGTATAGTATACGAGGGATGACAGTAACTCAGCAAGGCATTCTTGTTGCGATAATTGTCTCTGAAAGTTGTAATAAATTATGGCGCGAAAATGTTCTCGGTTGAGTTCCATTTTTCTAATGACTTGGCGACACTTAAAAATTCACTGTAGTGAGAACACTGCACGTATCGTTGTGAAACTTTGAATTTAAGTTTACTAAAGAGTGAGGTTAAGATTCAGTACTGACGTTCGATCCGCGCGGCCTACTAAGTTTCTATATGCAAAACTTAAAAGACATCCCTCGTATAAACTCTTTGTAATTAAAAATTATTTTGTACTATTCAGTTCCGTTAGCAATAAAAGCGTGTTTTTTTAGTTTTTTAAGCTATTATTTAGTTTTCATTTTTTAGTTCGATTTGTCACTTAGTTTTTTGTGGACATGTCATGATATTGCATTGTTATTGGTCCTTAATACGTGTGCGAAGTTTGATATTTATCAAACTTCTGAAAATTGTTGAAAATTTGGCTCAAAGTTACATACATATGTACATACAGGCCAAGCTAATAAAAGCGTGTTAAAAATTATAAAACCCATCTTTCGTGCTGTATCATTCGTGATCATCTCGATCATTCCTGAACAGATGCCGATAATCAGAGTCGTATACCTCATATATTACACAAAGAAAGGAACAGAGATAAATATCACCTGTTAAAAATATTCCGCGTTACCTTGAACTTGCCGGAATGTTCGCAACTCATTTAAAGTCATATCAGAATAAACAACATTCACACATCGGACACACATTCACTATGTCGTGG